GGTGAGGTCGGCTCTCGAGAGGAGGAAGAAGAAGCCCAGCCAGGAGGCGCAGCAGGTCAGCTTGTCCCAAAGCGTGGCTGCGGCTGCGGCCAGGGACGAGGCGAAGGACCTGCCGCCTTTTCCGCGAGGGAGAGAGGATCCGAACGCGTCGCACTTCGCGGGTTATTTCAAGGAGTGGAGGAGATGGATGAGGGACTCGGCAACGAAGGATTCGGACGCGGCGGCGGGAATCCCGAGTGAGAGCCACGACCGTCGGAAAAGCTCAAGAGATTCATTTAATAACATATCCCCGCCGGCGCTTCATGCTGGAGGAAGAGGTCAGAGTGACGCAGGTCCTCCTGGCTACGACCAGTGGAGTGGAACGAATTCAAAAACTGCCAGCCAAAAACAAATGGCCCTGAATAACAGAAACAACAGTTCAGACGCAGACAACGGAAGCGATTACCCGTCCAAGGAGAGCAAAAACAGACCCCCAGAGCTGCCGGGCCCAAACCAGCCCAACCAAGCCAGCAAAACCACGCCCTATGCAGACAACACAACCAAAAGGGAAAGAATATTACCGACGGCACACGCGCCCCCCGAGAGAACGCACCCGTCGCAGTGGCAGCTCTCGAACCCACAGTTTCCGTCCATCCGCCGCTCGACTGCCCCCGCGCCGAGACCCCTCCGACGTCCCGCTGACTCCGCGACCCCCGCTCCGGACGTCCAAGCCAAGCTACCCGGGATTCCGAGTCTCCAGGCGAAGCTACCGGAGTTGAGATCCCGTCGCTCCAACTACCTGCCGACGACGCAGACGGACCTGAAGAAGAGAGAGGAGCTGCCGGCCATCAGGAGTCGAGAAACGGATTTACCAAAGATAAAATGAGAAAAAACCGGACATCAACTTGCTCAGTTATTGTGCGTTAACTTTGTATTTGGAAAGTTCTCGGTTCGTCCTGGTTCTTATCATTCGTTGTAGGCGGGTACTGGCATCAGCTGCTGGGGTCAAAGTCAAGGTGGAACGGAAATGGCCAAACTACCGCATCATCCCGCGGTTTAGGACAGATGGCCCTCTGCAGACACTCCTTAAACGTTCACTTAGACCAAGGACCAATTTTAAACAGGAAAATGTTTGAGTAAATCATGAAAACTCGGACATATTACTCAGGAAATGGAACATACAGTGCTCGTTCCATATGTTTTCATGTCATTTTCCAAGAAACAGTCTGAAATATGTGAAACTTCTGTTATCTCCATATCCTATGAAGTGTGTTATATTCCGAACTTCATGTACATGTTCTTCAGTCATTCAAAAGTGAACAAGCCTTTACAATATTCACATCAATCCATATCTTGCTTTATACATATCAAATCATTAAATATTTTATGCTGTAGTACAAGTCATTACATCAATATATATGAGGCATATTTTTTTTCCTAGGAAGAAAAGCATAGCCATCACCAATAATTGTATTACTATTTTTAAAATTAATAATTCCTAATGGTTACAAGAGAAATCAAAACAATGGCATTCGATTTTTGAATTATTGTAAAATAATAATGATCTATTTTTTATATTTTATATATTTTTATATTCATTTTTCTCTTGTCTCACTGCCTTCGATATCATCATCTCTATTCATCATTTTCCTTCTATTTTTTCTCTCTCCCTTTCTCTGTTACCATAATTCATTCTTAACATATATTCCATTTCACAAAAATCTTACATTAAGTAGTGACTACGAAATCCAGGACTTGGAAACAGTACAAGAAGAAGGATAGCTCCTCAGAAGCACAGCCTGGAACTTTAAACAGAAGATATATGAACAGGTGAACAGGTCTGAACAGCAGGTAGAAATCCTCCAGCTGATTAAACTGAACAGGCGGAAGAGGTAAGTTTCTTTGGATATACACACACTCGCACTCACATACACTAGACATATACGAACGCACAAGTATTGGCACGCGTACATGCACTAGCTCTTGTACACGCAAGCACGCAAGCACGCTCTCTCTCTCTCGCTCGCTCGCGCTCTCGCTCTCGCTCTCGCTCTCGCTCTCTCGCTCGCTCTCTCTCTCTCTCTCTCTCTCTTCTCTCTCTCTCTCTCTCTCTCTCTCTCTCTCTCTCTCTCTCTCTCTCTCGCTCTCGCTCTCGCTCTCGCTCTCGCTCTCGCTCTCTCTCTCTCTCTCTCTCTCTCTCTCTCTCGCTCTCGCTCTCTCGCTCTCGCTCTCGCTCTCGCTCTCCGCTCTCCTCTCTCTCTCTCTCTCTCTTCTCTCTCTCTCACTCTCACTCACTCACTCACCTCACTCACTCACTCACTCACTCACTCACTCTCTCTCTCTCTCCCCCCTCTTCTCTCTCCCTCCCTCTCAGCTCTCTCTCTCTCTCTCTCTCTCTCTCTCTCTCTCTCTCTCTCTCTCTCTCTCTCTCTCTCTCTCTCTCTCTCTCTCTCTCTCTCTCTCTCTCTCTCCTCTCTCTCTCTCTCTCTCTCTCTCTCTCTCTTCTCCTCCCACTCTCACTCACTCTCTCTCTCTCTCTCTCTCTCTCTCTCTCTCTCTCTCTCTCTCTCTCTCTCTCTCTCTCTCTCTCTCCTCTCTCTCTCTCTCTCTCTTTCTCTTCTCTTTCTCTTTCTCTTTCTCTTTCTCTTTCTCTTTCTCTCTTTTCTCTTTTCTCTTTCTCTTTCTCTTTCTCTTTCTCTCTCTCTCTCTCTCTCTCTCTCTCTCTCTCTCTCTCTCTCTCTCTCACTCACTCTCTCACTCTCTCACTCTCTCACTCTCTCACTCTCTCACTCACTCTCCACTCACTCCCTCACTCTCCACTCACTCCTCACTCTCCCACTCACTCCCTCACTCTCCCACCTCACTCCCTCACTCTCCACTCACTCCTCACTCCTCACTCTCCACTCACTCCCTCACTCTCCCACTCACTTCCCTCACTCTCCCACTCACTCCCTCACTCTCCCACTCACTCCCTCACTCTCCCACTCACTCCCTCACTCTCCCACTACTCCCTCACTCTCCCACTCACTCCCTCACTCTCCCACTCACTCCCTCACTCTCCCACTCACCTCCCTCACTCTCCTCACTCACTCCCTCACTCTCCACTCCCCTCACTCTCCCACTCACCCTCACACTCTCCCACTCACTCCCTCACTCTCCCACTCACTCCCTCACTCTCCACTCACTCCCTCACCCACTCACTCCCTCACTCTCCCACTCACTCACTCCCCACTCACTCCCTCACTCTCCCACTCACTCACTCACTCTCCCACTCACTCACTCACTCTCCCACTCACTCACTCACTCTCCCACTCACTCCCTCACTCTCCCACTCACTCCTCCCTCTCTCACTCACTCTCCCTCTCTCACTCACTCACTCTCTCCCCACTCACACTCCCTCTCCCACTCACTCCCTCCCTCTCTCCACTCTCTCACTCCTCTCCCACTCCCACTCACTCCCTCTCCCACTCCCACTCCCTCCCTCTCTTCCACTCCCTCCCTCCCTCCCTCCCTCTCTCACCCCTATATCGGAACATTTCAGTCAAGGTTCACCGAATTCATTTCCTATTCCCAGTCTCCCACTTTCCTCCCTCTCCCCACTCCCACTCCCACTCCCACCCATTCCCACTCCCTCCCTCCCTCCCTCCCTCCCTCCCCCTCTCCCACCCCTATATCGGAAGATTTCTGTCAAGATTCACCGAATTCATTTCCTAATTCCCAGTCTCTCCCTCTCCCATTCCCACTCCCTCTCCCCCTCCCTCCCTCCCCCCCCTCTATCGGAACATTTCAGTCAAGATTCAGCGAATTCATTTCCTAATTCCAGTCTCCCTCTCCCATTCCCATCCCACTCCCACTCCCTCCTCTCCATTCCCTCCCTCCCTCTCCCTCTCTCCACTCTCTCCCACTCCCTCCTCCCTCTCCCACTCCCTCCCACCCCTATATCGGAACATTTCGTCAAGATTCACCGAATTCATTTCCTAATTCCCAGTCTCTCCCTCTCCATTCCACTCCCTCCCTCCCCACTCCCTCCCTCCCTCCCTCCCACCCCTATATCGGAACACTTCAGTCAAGATTCAGCGAATTCATTTCCTAATTCCCAGTCTCTCCCTCTCCCATTCCCACTCCCACTCCCACTCCCTCCTCCCTCCCTCCCTCTATCCCTATATCAGAACATTCATGTCAAGATTCAGCGAATTCATTTCCTAATTCCAGTCTCTCCCTCTCCCATTCCCACTCCCTCTCCCACTCCCTCCCTCCCTCCCTCCCACCCTATATCGGAACATTTCAGTCAAGATTCACCGAATTCATTTCCTAATTCCCAGTCTCTCCCTCTCCCATTCCCCCCTCCCTCCCTCTCCCACTCCACTCCCTCCCCTCTCCCCCTCCCTCCCCTCTTATATCAGAACATTTCAGTCAAGATTCAGCGAATTCATTTCCTAATTCCCAGTCTCTCCCTCTCCCATTCCCCCTCCCTCCCTCTCTCTCTCCCCCCCCCTATATCGGAACACTTCAGTCAAGATTCACCGAATTCATTTCCTATTCCCAGTCTCTCCCTCTCCCATTCCCTCCCTCCCTCTCCCACTCCCACTCCCTCCCTCCCTCCCTCCCTCTATCCCTATATCAGAACATTCATGTCAAGATTCAGCGAATTCATTTCCTAATTCCCAGTCCAGGTTTCGAGTCGCTGCACGAGTTGAAGTGAAAATCAATCCTTCGCTCACGACATGCTGTTCGGAAATGCATTTTTTAACACCTGTTCGCTGGTCAATCTTGGGCGCGTTTTGGTCCATTTTCTCTTGGTTCGCGTTGTGGGTTTTTTGGTCTATTTTTTTGTTTTAAAGAATCACAGAATTTTTTTTTTAGGAATATTTATTTTAATGTATACAATTGATTATGAGTTTGACACTGAGGATTGTGTAACAACAGATTCGGATTTTGGGTTGGAATATATTTCAAAATTGGATTCATCTAAACAAAATAAAAATAAATTGTTCCACAAGGTAATAAAAATGTTGTTCAGATCAGATTCACACTTTATTACAGGCAAAAAAAAAAAGAAAGAAAAGAAAATACTATACATGTACGCTCAGTCGCTCATACAAATAACTAAAAAAATGTTTATGAAAATCACAGGTCCGTCCTTTGGTGAGGTCGCCCTCAGAGCTGCTCGTCCTCCGAGGACAGCGTGAGGTGGTACTGCTCCGTCTCCTCGGCCGAGTCCTCCGTCGAGTCCAGCGGGTAGAACTCGGCCGCCTCCGTCGCCAGGGACAGCCGCTCCATGGGGTAGAGCGCGGCGTCCAGCCCCAGGGGCGCCGCCGCGGGGGGACTCGAGCCCACCGGGGACTGCGGGGCGTCGGGCTGCGTCTCCGCGGGCGGCGAGGGCGGCGACCGGCTCTGCGTGGGCGGCTGGGGTTGAGGGAGGGGCTGCTGGGGCGCCGGGGGATGGGCGGGGGCGGGGGCGGCGGGGGCGGCGGCGGAGGGTGGTGGTGATGGTGGTGGTGCTGGCCGGGCTGGTGGTGGAGGGGGTGGGCGTGGATGCTGTGCTCCAGGATGTTGTGGTCGTTGTAGGAGTTGAGGTTGTGGACGAGGTGGTGCGGGATGTGGAGCTGGTGGTAGTGGAGGTGGTGGTGGTGGTGAGGCAGGTAGTGGTAGTGGTGGTGGTGTGCTTCGGAGGCGAGGGCGTGCTCCGTCGTGTCCGGCGAGCCGCTGCTGCTGCTGGCGGCGCTGGGCGTGTGCGGCGTCTGCGGCGTGTTGCTGGGGGCGGTGGGCGTGGGCGGACACAGGTCGTTGTTGTTCATGGAGGAGTGGATGTGGTCGCCGACGTCGCCGCCGTGGTCCAGGTCGGGCGTCGGGGCGGCGTCGGCGGCCGAGTGCAGCGCCGACAGCTCCGCCTCCAGCTGGCTCGGCAGCTTGATCCCGGCCACGCCCTTCTTCGGGATGGAGCTCAGGTCGCGCTTGATGCGGCGCCGGCGGCTCGGGTCGTTGCGCCGCAGCTGGATCATGCGGTCGAAGTCGATGATGTAGAGGAAGCCCGCCACCAGGACCTCGCACGCGCGCTGGCCGCTGCCGTACGCCGCCTCCAGCTCGTGGCTCGTGCGCTCGTCGTACTGCCACCAGCCTGCGGGGACACGAGGCTCAGCGGGTTGCGGGGCGGGGGGGGGGGGTTAGGGAGGGCGTCAGCCGGAAGCAGACACGGGGGAGGGGGAGGGGGACAGGGGGCTAGGCCCTATTTTCTAAGTTATAAAATAGAAGAGTGTGAACTATCTAATAAACGCTACCACTAATAATAAAAGTATATAATAAAGAATAATGGCAAAAACAACATCAATAATAATAATAATAATATTAATAATAATAATAATAATAATAATAATAATAATAATAATAATAATAATAATAATAATAATAATAATAATAATAATAATAATAATAGTAATGACAATAATAACAATTAAACAATTACAATAATAACATTAACAATAATAGTAAAATCAATAATGTGGCATACAAAAGCACTGAACTAAGAAATCTGTGACTCAATGAATACTGAAAAAGAAAAAAAAAAGATTTGCATGTGCCAAAAAAAAAAAAAAAAACGCACAAAAAAAATCTACGTCATGATCAATCTCGCTGGACACACATACACTTATCATAAATATCAAACTATACTCTCATTCCTCTTTCGTTCTGTTTGAATAAGTACAAATGTTCATCAAAAACAAATTGTTAGGAGACTTGTATAAACATTCAACGATGTTTTTACGACCCTTTTGGATGATAAAAAAGGGTTAGAATCACAAGAAATATATTCAAATGTTTTTATAGTATGTAGTATGAAGAGGTCATTTTATAGTATGTAGTATGAACAGGCCATGTAAATACTGTCATAATTGTTAAAATCCTTCTCTAACATAATGCTATCATTAATATATTTACAATATATATTCTATCAATGTCATCATCATTAATAACATATACGCATATGTAATATATCTAATGCAAATAAGGAACGTCAAAAATGACAATAACAAAAAGACAAAAAGAGGGGCCCTTGACGTTTACATAATAAATGGAGAAAATGTGTGGGGTGCAATATTTTCATACCGTAATGGAAAGAACAAACCTTGTAAATAGTTTATGGAAAATTACTTGTCAGTTACACACGCTTTGCAATTATCATACTTTATCAATCTTACTGAATTTGAAGTGCCTTTTGTTGGCATTACTTTAATTTGTTGTATATTATAGGGCATAAATGCCTAATTTAATAAAAATAAATCTATCTCCTGTTATTTTGTATATAATGTAGCCTCTAGTATCAAAATACCTTGTATGTCTTTCTTCTAATTGTTGCAGACTATACGATGTCACCACTATTTTTCTTTTAAAAATTATATAAATAAAAAAAAAAAAAAAAACTAAGCATTTATCAACCATCCTTTGCAAAAGTGTGTTTTATTTTTTCTCCTTCGATAATCAAAAATTCTCAGACTATACCTAAACAAAGGATAAAAAGAAAAA